TCCAAGTACTCTCCATTTGATACAATACACCTATCAAGATGCTTTTTCCACGGCTCAGAAGTTTTTGAACTCATCAGTGTGGGTGCCTTTCTTTATTTCACCTTTTTCACATAGCAAAATATTTCCCCTTGAGGACTTTTTTCACCCGGAGAAATGAAAGATTCACTTAGGGTGAGGCTGTGTGAACAGGAAGGGTAGGGCACAGAGTTCATGCCATTTTGGTCAAAAACTGCTGAACTCACAGCACCGTGTAGGCAGGTGCATTGTCATGGTAGAAGAACCAGTCACCTGTTTGCCACAGCTCAGGATGTTTCTTCTGCAAATCGTGAAGCAACCCTCTCAAAACTTCCAGATAAAAACTTTGGTTGACCATTTGATCTGAAGGAACAAATTCCTAGTGTACCATAAGGGGCCCTCCCTCCAAAAGATAATTCTAGTTTCTAGGGGGTTCCCCCTCAGATATAAACACAAGCACACACACAGCTGTTTATTTGTATGTGCACATAAAAAATGTTAAAGTATACAAAACAGTAACATTTTTGTTACCTTATGGAGCTGATAGAGAATAGGTAAAAAGAAGAAACAATTTCATGGTATATATAATATATTTATAAAATGCTTGATTTCTTTTTTATAATAAACATATATTACTTTAGAATTTTTTACTTAAGTAATAGTTGTGTGATTAGTAATAAAATATATTGGGTCATTCAACAAATATTTACAGAATGCCTACTATATGTATCAAGCATTATTGTAAATCCTGACTAACAAAACTGACATGGTCATTAGGATTTGTATGTACGTGTGTGTGTGCGCGCGTGCACGCGCACGTGTGTGTGTGTATGTGTGTGTGTATGAGAGAAAGAGAGGACAAAAGAATTTTAGATAGTGATGAGTAAGATGATGAAATAAAATTATAATATAAGTGGTAAGTTACTGTTGACAGGCTGTTTTAGATACAGGATAGTTAGGTTACCTTTGAGGAGGTGACATCTGAGCTGAGATGTTAAGGTTAAGAAGGCCCTAGCTTAGTGTGGAAACCCATGGTGACAGAGTTTTTAAGACAGGGAACAAGTATAAAGGTCCTCAAGTGGGAATGAATTTGGCATGGTCAAGGAAGAGAAAGAGGGCCAAAGGCTAGAGATTACCAACTAGGAGAAGGGCCACAGGAAATTAGATCAGAAAGGAAGGCAGAAGCCAGGTCATATATATGAATGGCTTATAATATACCTTAATAATCAGTTTTCTGGAGTAGTTTTAAATAAGCCCCATTGCTTTTATTTAACATTGTATGTTTCACAAATTATAGCAATCATTTGTAATTTACTGAGACATCTATTTAAATCATTATATGAGGCAGTTGTATCAGAATGAATAATTCAGCTAATATTGGACCTATTTGAAGCCCAGCATCTGCATCCCCATGCACCTTAATTTTTCTGTAATCTGTGCTTAAGTAGTAAAACTTACACACATGCCCACATACATCCTGGAAAGAAAACCAACTGTTGGGTGTTGCTGACAGAGTGATGGAAGTGCACAGAAAGTGAAAAGAGCTAAGCAAGTGATGGTTCGTTCAGATAGCATCCCTCTCTCCATCTTATTTTATTTTATTTTATTTTTGAGACATGTTCTTGCTCAGTTGCCCAGGCTGGAATATAGTTGCCCAATCATAACTCACTGCAGCCTGAAACATCTGGGCTCAAGCAATCCTACCATCTCAGTCTCCTTAGGTAACGAGGAATCCAGGTGGGTGCCCCTACTTCCAGCTAATTTTTTATTGTTTGTAGAGACGGGGTCTTGCTATGTTGCCCAGGTTGGTACTAAACTGGCCTCAAGCAATCCTCCCATCTTGGCCTCCCAAAGTGCTGGGATTACAGGTATGAGGCACCACATCCGGCTGTCAGCCAAACAGTATCTCAATACTTGCCTTTAATCATATATTTACAATGTATTTGCAGTCTCTAGGTATTTATTATGTTTCATGGAAGAAATTACATACTATAGCAATACTTGAGAATCTGGGGTTCCATAAGTATCTGGGGGAACATCAAGCATCTACCATATTAATCCTAAAAATTCTGGGGTGCATTTATATGCCAACTCTTCCTTTATAGATCATTTAAAATAATATTTAAGCCAGGCTCGGTGGCTCAGCCTGTAATCCCTTGCTTTGGGAGGCCGAAGTGAGTGAATTGCCTGGGCCCGCGGGTTCGAGACCCGCCTAGGCAACTTGGCGAGACCTCATCTCTACAATAAATAAAAAATTAGCCAGGCATGGTAGCGCACACCTATAGTTCCAGCTACTTGGAAGGCTGAGGCAGAAGGATCGCTGGAGCCCAGCAGATCGAGGCTGTGGTGGCCACGAGTGTGCCACCGCACTCCAGTCTGGGTGACAGAGTGAGACTCCAAGTCAAAAAAATAAAAATAAAAATAATATTTAGCCTGAAATTTAAGCAATTCTGAATTTCTGTACTATAATTTAGTATTTACCTGTTATGAATAATATTTCTACATGAGGAAAGATCCCCCCAAAAAACCCAAAATTCTTTTTTGGAAAGTGGCCTTTTGTAGTACAGGCCTTCCCCGCTAGGTAAGTGTTCCAGGAACCCATTAGCATCAGTGTACCAGCTAGCATTATTGTGAGAGGCTATGTTCAGCTTCAGTGAATTTTCTTTTTTTTAAGATTCTTTCACTGTATTTAACCCATTTCATGAAGAGAGATTTACGAGCACACCTGCCCACACTATTCTGAGTGCTCAGCAGTTTTTGACCCAAAATGGCATGACTCCCATGCCCCACCCTCCCTACTAAGCCAGTCTCACTCAAAGCGACTTTGTTTCCCTGGATGAAAAAAGCCCTCAAAGGGAAATGTTTTGCTGATGTGGAAGGGGTGAAAAAAAAAATGACAGAAGCACTAGAAAGGCATCAAAATTGGTGAGTTCAAAGACTGCTTGTTTTGAACAGTGGAAAAAGCCTCTTGATAGGTTTATTGCATCAAATGGAGAGTATTTTGAAGATGACTGAAGTTTAAATATGTAAGAATACATACACAATTTTTTATAAATAAATTCTGAGGTTTTGGGGGGTCCCCCTCATATTTTAAATGTTTAACATCTAAGGCTCAGAGAATGTAAAGCAAGTAATATATCCTTTTATTTACCAACCTATTTAGAACATCAAAAATATCAAATTTTTACAGATTATTAAGAATTTTACTCATCATATTTAAGCAGAAAGCAAATAATTAATCTGGTTATTGTTTTAAGGTGAGGAAATTTCCTTCATTTAACTCCAGAATCTGATCCCTAAGAGCTTCCAAACATTTTATAAATTTACTAGTAACACAATAAATAGACACGAAGAAATGCAAATATAATTAAGAGATTGGCAATAAATCCAAGATAATTACAAAACTGCACCTCTCCCCATGACTTCCAATCAGGAGTCACAACTGTTTTGCAATAGGGAGGACGGCCACTTTAGCCTGTTGGGTCTTGGGCGCTACTGCTGGGAAGCACTGCAATTTCAGTCCCTCCTGGCTTTTATGAAGCACAAGCTAGATTTACTGGAAGGGAGAAAAGGGGACCAGAGCCATAAAAATTTCAGGATGTATATGAATTATTTAACAATCAACATTTAAGAACTGACTTTTCAGGAACACAAAAAAGGAAATTAGCTTCATTTTTTCTAAAATTGCCTACTTTTACAATATTGTTCCATCTCATCTTCTGTGGAAGGAAATTCAAATGGCCAATAAACATACAAATAAAATATAATTTCAAAAACCTTAAAACTTTTAAAACGCTCAAAGTTGGTGTGGGAAATTGGGAGGCCTCACACATTACTGGTGGGAATATAAACTGCTACAAACTTTCTGAAGGGTACCTTGATAATATGTCAAAAAAGCCTTAAAAGAAATTCATACCTTTTGACCCAGAATTTCATTTCAAGGAATTTATCCAAGGAATTACTCACAGATGTGTGCAATAATATAGCTAAAAAGAGATGCATAACAGCATTTATCATAACTACAAACTAGAAACAAACTAGTAAGTTACTGACTTAAATAAATTATTGTACAACAATAAAATAAAATAATATGCTGTTACTTAAAAAGGTGTATCACAGTTTACCAAGAGTAAAAGAAAAAATGTATATGATCGAAAATTATTTTTAATGCAACCCAGTCTGGGCAACACAGAGAGATGCTGTCTCAAAAACAAAAGCAAAAACAAACATAAAACCTCCAAGGGCTTTGCAAGCCATGTGAGAAAAAATTAAAAACCTAAAATCTTATGGACTAGAGGCTCTTTATGGCCTGGTTCCTGGCTTCCTCTCCAACTTTTTTGAAGACCACTATCCCTCCCTCATCCAACTCTTCCAGCTCTTACTTAAGCATAACCGGCAACTCCAGCTCTATTTGCACTTGCTGTTCCTTCAGCTTAGGGTACTTGTCACTTGGTCCACTCTAATGTGGACTCTATAGTCCACACTCTCACTTCCACAAGTGAGACTCTCACTTCCTGTCATGCCATACTCTTTTGCTCAGCTTCATTTTTCTTCACCGCATCACCACCTGATTATTATAAAATTTTTTTTAGTCATCTTCCTCTACTATAATATAAGTTCAATGATAGGTTCATTATATTCTACTGTATCTCTAGTACCCAGAATAGTGCCTGGCTTTAAAAAATACATTCAGGAAATACATCAAATAAATGACCTGGAAAAAAATTATTTTTAAATATTAAGTGAAAAAGAAGACACAAAACAGTATGTATGGTATGGCTTCATTATCTACAAATCCATTGACGAATAGAAAAAAAGGCAAAAAAGATGTAAATCAAAATGTTAGCAGTGTTTAAATTGTCAGTGATTTACAGATACTTTTTATCATTGCTTTTCTACTTTGCAAAGTTTCTGCAACAGATAAGCATTATTTTCACATTAAGAAAAAAGTATGTGTTTTTCTTAAGTAATAAATAACAACCTACCAGTCCATTTAAGTTCTTTATGTTGTTTCTTCCTAAAGACAATATCCTCAAGTTTTCTGTAGTGAAAAAGAAACATTTTTTAATGAGAATCATATTACACATTACATTTACATTATTGTAAGTCTGGTATAATAAAGCTTTAGTATTTATTTTTATAATAAATATCCTCATATAATGAGTAAGAAAGGTTGTGCTAAGCTGGGCGCAATGGCTCACATCTATAATCCCAGCACTTTGGGAGGTGGAAGTGAGAGGATTGCCTGAGCTCAGAGGTTCAAGACCAGCCTGGGCAACTCTGCAAGACCTCGTCTCTACAATAAATCAAAAAATTAGCTGAGTATGGTGGTGCATGCTATAGTTCCAGCTACTTGGAAGGCTGAGGCAGAAGGATCACCTGATCACCTGCGTCTAGAAGGTCGAGGCTGTGGTGGCCATGAATGTACCACTGCATTCTAGCCTGGGCAACAGAGTGAGACTCCAACTCAAAAAAAAAAAAAAAAAAAAGTAAGGCTGTGTTAATAAAAATGGGTAAGCAGCCAGGTGCGGTGGCTCACACCTGTAATCCCAATTCTTTGGGAGGTGAAAGGATTGCTTGGGCCCAGGGGTTCAAAGCCAGCCTGGGCAACTTGGTGAGACCTCGTCTCTATAATAAACTTAAAAAATATCTGGGCATGATGGCATGCACCTGTAGTCCCAGCTACTTGGCAGGCTGAAGTGGAAGGATTGTCTGAGCCCAGCAAGTCGAGGCTGCAGTAGCATGATCGTGCCACTGCACTCCAGCCTAGGCAACAGAATGAGACTCTGACTCAAAAAACAACAACAAAGAAGCTTAAGCAAGTAATAAATAACAATGAACTATCATCTAAGGTAAACACTACAACTCTAATTTCACATCATACCAATATTAAGTTAAATATGGTTAGCTATTTGGAATGCATGATCTTAAATTGTGGGCTAGAAAAACATTACAGGGATACAATAAGAGTAGAGAAGATTTTAAGTTTGGGAGCATATATATTTCTTTTCTTTTTTTTGGAGTTGGAGTCCCACTCTGTTGCTCAGGCTGGAGTGCAGTGGCACGCTCATGGCCACCACAACCTTGACCTGCTGGGCTCAGGTGATCCTTACGCCTTAGCCTTCCAAGTAGCTGGAACTACAGGCGCATACTACCACACCCAGCTTCTTTTTTTTTTTAATTCATTGTAGAGACGAGGTCTCAGCAAGTTGCCCAGGCTGGTTTCGAACCCCTAGACTCAGGCAATCCTCTCACCTCTGCCTCCCAAAGTGCTAAGATGACAGGTGTGAGCCACCATGCCAAACTAGGGAGCATATATATTTCAAATCTCTTATGGTATAAGAATTCACACTAGAAAATAGAAACATATTTATGGATAATCCACCTTACTCCACACAAGATTAGAAGTGAAATAAAATAAACTTAGTATTTAAAAAATCTTTGTTTTCAATCTTTTAAATGATTCGATTGTGACTTTGTTAAAAAAAATAAAACGTCTGTGTCTATTTTTTTTATTTATTTTTTATTTTTTTTTGAATTGGCGTCTCACTGTCACCCAGGCTGGAGTGCAGTAGCACACTCACAGCCACCCCAGCATCAACCTGCTGGACTCTGGTGATTCTTCCGCCTCAGCCTTCCAAGTAGCCAGAACTACAGGCATGTGTTATCATGCCTGGCCAATTTTTTGATTTATTGCAGAGATGAGGTCTTGCCAAGTTGCCCAGGTTATTCTCGAACCCATGGGCTCAGGCAATCCCCTCACCTCAGCCTCTCAAAATGCTGGGATTATAGGCTTGAGGCACCATGCCCTGCCTGTGTGTATTTTTTTAAAGAATGTTGCTATTTGTATATCTACAGGCTATTTCTGGAGGAGAAAAAAGAAAGTAGCGACCATGGTTGTCTTTGGGGAAGAATTGAGAGGCAGTAGTTGGAAAAAGACATTTTTCATTGCAACCTGTTTTGAACCATTTGAATAAAACTATGTGCATATATTATTTTTACAGATTTTTAAAAAATAGTAAAACATAGGAAACTTCATTTCTGTTCCAAGAAACTCTTGTACATAAGTTATAATTTAGTTTTTACAACTTAAACTTCTATAACTCTCTTGTCTAATATGGTAGCCACTAGCCACATACGGCTATTTAATTAAAATTAATTAAAATTAAATAAAATTAAAAATTCAGTTTCTCAGTCACATCAGCCACATTTCAAATACTTAATAAGTAGGTGGCTAATAGCAACTGTAGTGTGACAATGCAGATAGTTCTGTTGGTTGGACAGCACTGTTCAATAGTAAGAGCACAAACCAAATTAACTGAGTTCCAATCCCAACTCTCTAGTGAAGCAAACAATTTGAATCTTAGTCTTATCATATATAAAATGAGGATATATAACTTCTTATAAGAATATAAAAATTAAAAGAGATAATTATCCAAAACATTCAGTAAAATGTCTAATTCAATAAATGACACACGTGTGTGTGTGTGTGTGTGTGTGTGTGTGTGTGTGTGTGTGTGTGTGTGTCTTATATTAAAACTTTGGTTTTAATTTATTTCATTTATTAAATTATTTTAAATTCTCTTAAAAGAGCAAGGTATTTTAAGAGTGATCTAATTCACACAGAATGGTTTAACTACTGAAACAACACCCCGTGTTATGGGTTGAATTCTCCCCCCACCCCCTAAATTCACATATTTAAGTCCTAACCCCCAATATCTCAGAATGTGACTGTACTTGGAGATAAGGTCTTTAAAGTTAAATAATTGGGTCATTTGGGTCCCCCCAAACAGTAATTAAGGTAAATCACATGGGTGGGCCATCTAATCCAATATGACTAATATCCTTATAACAAGAGGCAGTTAAAACACAGACAAAAACAGAGGAAAGACCATGTAAAGACAGAGGGAGAAGATGGCTATCTGCAAGCCACAGCCAAGGAATTCCTTGGCAGTCACAAGCCAAGAAATGTGGCAGCCACCAGAAGCTGGAAGAAGCAAGAAAGAGCCTCCAGAGGCAGCATGGCTTGATTTTGTCCCAGTGAAACTGATTTTAGACTTCTGGCCTCCAGAACTGTAAGAGAATAAATATATGCTGTTTTAAGCCACTGAGTGACAGCAGCCATAGGAAAACTAATACAGAGAGTCAGAGGCCTTAGCAACTGGGAGGGTGGTAATGTCATTAACAAGAATAAAAAGTACAGGGAAACAGAGAGGGTAAGGAATTATATTTCAAATATAACAAATTTGAAATACACACAAGATAAATTTGAACAAAAAAATATAGACTAAAAAATCTGATTGGGCACAGTGGCTCACGCCTGTAATCCCAGAACTTTGGAAGTCGGAGGTGGGAGAATTGCTTGAGCCCAGGAGTTCAAGACCAGCCTAGGTAACATAGTAAGACCTCATCTCTATAAAAACCCAAAAAATTAGACAGACATGGTACTGCACGCCTATAATCCCAGCTACCCAAGAAGCTGAGGCAAAAGGATCACCTGAGCCCAGGAGGTTGAGGCTGTGGTGAGCCATGATCATGCCACTGTACTCCAGCCTGGGTGACAGAACCAAACAAAAAAATCTCATATTCTATTTAAGATATCTCAATTCTAATTCTATTAAAGTTTTAAAATGTCTTTTAAAGTTTCAGGTCTTGGTCAGGTGTGGTGGCTCACGCCTATAATCCTAGCACTTTGGGAGGCAGAGGCAAGAGGACTGCCTAAGCCCATGAGTTCGACACCAGCCTGGGCAACTTGGTGAGACCTCGTCTCTACAATAAATCAAGAAAAATTAGCCAGGCATGGTGGTACACACCTGTAGATCCAGCTACTTGGAAGGCTGAGGCAGAAGGATCACCTGAGTCCAGCAGGTCAAGGCTGAGGTGACTGTGAGCATGCCACTGCACTTCAGCCTGGGTGACAGAGTGAGATTCTGACTCAAAAAATAAAAAAATAAAATAAAATAAATGTTCAGATCTCATACTATTTCTAATTTTCTTTGGATAATCAAACTTTGGTTTATATATCCTCTCTGTTATCTAACAATTACAGTGGTTAAAACAGGAGCTAGCTTTGAAATTATATAGTATCTCTGGAAAGTTTATTCCAATAACTAGAAAATTTAAGAACCATCTGTTACTATGAATCACTTACTTAAGCCATTCAGGTTGGCAATTTTTTCAATACAGTTTGTAGACAGTGAAAGTTTCCTATAAAAGAACAAAGAAAATTTTGAATATGGAAATTTTAAATGATATATCAGAAATTATTTTACAACAGTGCTCACAGAAGATAATGATAATAATTAAGTCATTTATTTTTATTCTAAATGCTATTTTTCTCACTCAGTTATGGCATTTATTCCTTCATTTTGATAACAAAAGTTAATAAGCACTCATTGTAGAAAATTCCAATTCGGTATTATCTATTAAATTATTTAATGCACGTATTTCTTGACCTAGTATTTCACTTCTAGAAATGCATCCTATTGAAGTAATAATACAAATGCCAAAAAAAGGGTATGAAGTACTATTACTATTGTATTACTATAATAGTGAAAAAAATTGAAAAAAATCTATAAATACACATTGACTGAAGAACAGATAATGAAATACTAAACTGTTACCTAAAACAAGTAAGATTGGGCTATAGTTACTGACTTGGGGAGATATCCATAATATATAGTTAAATTAAAATACCATCTAGCTGGGCCCAGTGGCTCAAATCTATAATCCCAGCATCTTGGGAGGCCGCGGTGAGAGGACTGCCTGAGCCCATAGGTTTGAGAACAGCCTAGGCAATTGGTGAGACCTTATCTCTACAATAAACCAAAAAATTAGCCAGGTGTGGTAGTGTGCACCTGTAGTTCCGGCTACTTGGAAGGCTAAGGCAGAAGGGTGGCCTGAGCTCAGCAGGTCGCCACTGACCAAGACCTGTGCCACTGCACTATACTCCAGCCTGAATGATAGAGTGAGACTCAAAAAAAAACCATCAGCAGAACAACACAGTTTGTACAGTTCTTTGAGTAAACAAACAACAAAAACAACCAGAATTATGTATATGCATTTGGGATATGTTTTTTTCATGTGTTAAAGCATTCAGAAATGTATATTGAAAAAAATTCATATGTAATCATAACTACCTCACATACCTGTCAGAGATGCTTACTTTTAATAGTTTTTATATATTTTTCTAGACTTTTTCAACACAAATGTTAATTATATAAAAACATCATTTTAAAAGGGAACAAAAGTATATATTCTTTATCTTCCTTTCTTGATAATAATGTTTATCTTAGTACATTCATGCAAAAAAAAAAAATAAAGCCACTAGTCCCAGCTACTCAAGTGGCGGAAGCATGATGATCACTTGAGTCCAGAAGTTTCAGTTCAATCTAGACAACAGTGAGACCCTGTCTCAAAAAGAACCAAAAAACAAAACAAATATGTGGGATACAATTCAGGGTTAGGTGTACAAATGTTCATTATGCAGGTACCCTTGTTGATGAGGTGTTTTTTCTGTTTTTTTTTTTAGAGATGAGGTCTCATTATGTTGCCTATGCTGGTCTCGAACACCTGGGCTCAAGCAATTCTCTTGCCTCAGCCTCCCAAAGTACTGGGATTACAGGCATGAGCCACCATGCCTACCCTACTTAATGTATTAGCTATTTTCATCATTACAACAATTTTCTGGGATAAGTAGATTTATCCACACTTTACAAATGAAAATGAGGCACAAAAATGTTAAGCAATTTTTCCATTATTATACAGCCACAAAGTGGCAGGGCCAAAACTAAAACCTAGGTAGGTTTGATTCTAAAGTGTATATCTTACCTTTTAGTATTTAACTTGAAGAAATTATTATTTTTTCTGTTTGAAACAGCAAAAGAAATTACTATACAGGACAAATGACTGATCAAGTCTATTATTATCCAGTCATCTCCCATTCCTAAGAATTACCAGTGAAAAATCAAGTGTCTTTAAATCTAGGAATATGTTTGGCAAATAATTATTTAATTCTTGTTTAGGCAGCCTGCCCAAAGAGACTGTCAGTAAAAATATGAACAGGGAGATTCTAAGTGGTTTCCAAGGTGCTTTGATATGGAATACAAAACCTTCTCAGATTTATTTGCCTTTGAGATGGCTTTATGGTAAAAAGATACTTGACCATTTTAAAATCATGCTTGAAGCCAAAAAAGCACCCCATGGTGGGTTTTTATGTAACACACTATGCGTCATCACCAAGAACAAGTTGTATATAGTAACTAAATGTATCTGCCTTTCCCTTTAACCCCAAAGACAGATATTAGTCTAATGCATATCTAATATCTGTCTAAGAAATATCTGTCTAAGAATAATCCAAATATCTGTCTAAGAATAATCCAAGTTTCTTACTGAAAATACTGATTCCTAGGTTTCACCAGTATATATTGTTTCTATATATTTGGTATGGGGCTGATCTCCTGCATAAAGTACAGGTGGTCAACAGATCATACTTAGACAATCACAGGGTAAAGAAGTCAGAAAAAGAACGCCAGTGTTCAGTAGTACTTTATAACCCTGACAAGAGACATGGTAGCTTAAAAACATGGTTACAAGGCATCATGGCATAATTGCCTCAGATTACCCACAGAATCCTGCTAAAACATGTGTAGAGTATTGAGAATGCAAATTTAAAAGAATTAATATAGATCATATATTTAAAGTCATGGGAAATAAGATTACAAAATAAATGTAATTTGATCCCAATTCGAATTTTTCAATTAGAAGGCTCTACAAAAATACTAACACTGTTTCTTACAAGGTGCTGTAATTTTGGTTGATGTTAATTCATTTTCTATGTTTTTTTAAATATTTTCTAGATATTTTACAATGTATTTTTATAATTTGAAAAATTTTTTTCTTTTTTTTTCTTTTTTGAGTTGGAGTCTCACTCTGTCGCCCAGACTGGAGTGCATAGGCCACTCCCGGCCACCGCAGCCTCGACCTGCTGGGCTCCGGCGATCCTTCCGCCTCAGCCTTCCAAGTAGCTGGAATTACAGGCATGCGCTACCACATCCGGCTGATTTTTTGATTTATTGTAGAGATGAGATCTCGCCAACTTGCCCAGGCAGGTCTCAAACCCGCGGGTTCAGACAATCCACTCACCTCAGCCTCCCAAAGTGCTGGGATTACAGGCTGAGCCACTGAGCCCAGCTAAGTTTTTTTCTTTAAAGGGGTATCTCCTAGGCACGAAGTAAGTAATACAGTTCTGACTTTGGTGGATAATTTTATGAGAGAAAGATTTCATAACAGAATAATAATTCATTGTGTTATTTCACTTCTCCTAAAAGACTAGGACATTTCTATTTTCAAATATATAAAAACTGTACTAAAAATTTTGTATTCTTCAGTATCACTTTATTAAGAATCATAACCAAAAATTTCTCATGTTTTGGCCTTGCCAAAGGGAGAATTAGAGTAAGCAAACAAAAAATTAATGAAGACTACAGAAAACAAACATATTTTTCTAGTCTGTGTGTTTAAGAAAAAGAAAGGGAAACTTACTCGCAATTAGCAAGCGTGGACAAGGATGCATCCATCTTCTCTATAGGGGGAATCTGGGCATAAAGCTTTATCTCTTTGGCTTCAGATGGCCTCTGACCAGTTTTCTCTTCCTATGAGACAAGTAAATTTGGAAGAAAATGATCTCTGAATGTAATGTGAAACTAGAAGAGGCCAGAATTCCCCAAGGTTTTTTAATATTTATTTCAAAACAATTACTAGAATTTAATAAACCATTTAATCATTCTTTACCATTCATTTATAGAAAATATTTATTTACTGTCCCTGATAACTAGGCTTCTACATAGCTGAATCAGATAATTGTTAGGTCCAAAAGAAATGAGGAGAGAAAAAATAACCTTTATTTTTGTGACATTTAAATTTTGAAATGGAAAGGGATACAAACAAATGGGATGACAACCCATATTCATGGATCAGAAGAGTTAATGTAGTAAAAATGACCATACTGCCCAAAGAAATCTACAAATTCAGTGTAATTCCTATGAAAATACCAACATCATTTTTTGCAGAAATAGAAGAAACAAATAAAAAATCAGTATAGAACCAAAAAAGAGCCCGAATAACCAAAGCAACCCTGAGCAAAAAGAACAAAGTTAGAGGAATTACACTACCTGACTTCAAAACACAGCACACAGCTTGAGTTAAGAACTCCAGGAAAAAGAAATTTTTAAAAAAATTTTTTAATTAAAAAAATATTACAAGGCTAAAGTAACCAAAACAGCCTGGTACTGGTATAAAAACAGAAACATTGACCAATGGGAGGAAACAGAGAATCCAAAAATAAATCCATGTATTTACAGCAAACTGATTTTTGACAAAGACACTACGGCATTAAGGAAAAGACATCAAGGAAAAGACACTCTCTTCAATAAATGGTGCTGGGAATACTGGAAGTTCACACGCAGAAGAATGAAACTGGACCCATATCTCTCACCATTTATAAAAATCACATCAAGATGGATTAAAGACTTAAACATTAAGATCCCAAAATATAAAACTACTAGAAGAAAACAAAGGAAAACACTTCAGGACATTGGTCTAATTGTATGGCTAAGACTTCCAAAGCACAGGCAACAAAAATAAAAATAGACACATGGGACTATATTAAACTAAAAAGGTTCTGCACAGTAAAGAAAATAATCAACACAGTCAAGAGACAACCTGTTGAATGGGGAAAAAAATATTTGCAAACTATTCATCTGACAAGGGACTAATATCCAGAACACACAAGGACGAAAATAACTCAACAGTAAAAAACAAATAATCTCTTTTTTTATTAAATGGGCAAAGTACATAAATAGACACATCTCAAAAGGAGACATACAAATGGCCAGGTGTATGAAAAAATGTGGCCATTTTCTCTGTCCTGGGACCGGGCAGAGAGCTGCAATGCGGCCCCGCCCCCACCTCTCACCCCCTGTGCCCCCTCCCCGCCTTCCCCATTCCCCCTTCAGCCTCCAACCTGGAACCCAAAGGCAACCTCCACACCCCTCTGGGATCGACCACTGGAGCAGGCACGGAGAGACGGATGCCCCACCCCCACACTGGACCAGGCACAGACACATCATATGGCGGGAGGGGGGGTGGTTGGCGGAGGTGACAGCTGCAGCTGCCTCTGCCGAGGGGTTGAGTTAGGATTTGATTCACCCTCCCACAAAAGCTGTCTTTGGTGCTAAGAGCTACCGGATGAGAGCGAAGGGGAGGGGCTGGGGACTGGAGCCCTGTCCCTACCACAGCCCCCCAGCAGCTGCCGGAAAACAGCAGTGGTGCTTGGGAAAGGAATTTGAAGTTCCAAAAACTGCCACAGAGAGAGCTCTCTTTTCTTTCTTTTTGTTTATGTTTTAGTATTTGTTTTGTTTTTGTTGCTTTTTAGTTTTTCTGTTTGCATATGGGTATTTTTGAGGGCAAGTGTATCATTAGGGTTTTTTTTGTTTGCATGTTTGCATGTTTTTGTTTTTGTTGTTGTTGTTTATTCATTAGTTGGTGTGCCTATTTTCCCTCTCCTCTGTCTTCATCTTCCTTTAGTCTCCCTCCTTCCTTTTTCTGTTCTTCCCCTTTTACTTATCGCATTTTGCTCACAGGGGGCATACATACATCCCCACGCATGGACAGATTGTAAGGTGGTGGGAAGTGGGTTCCAGGGGTCCACACACCTGTCAATGGATACTGTGATCTGCAGATAAGCTTCTGAACTACAGCTCCCCTTCATCACACCTTAATCAAATCTCAAAACTGCAAAAAGCACAGTCCCTCTATCCCCAGTCCAGCTTCATAACTGAACAAATCCAGAAGATCTACATAAGGAAGAACAGGGGATTGAGCAAACAGAATCGAAAGCTATCCCACCATCACTGAGCAACGGAATTAAAGAAGGGGAGGAAAGGAGGAGGAAAACCATCACAAATGAAGAAGAATCAAAGGAAGAACATAGGTCCCATTCAGAAGGCCCATGGGAAGACAGCACCTGAGAATAGACTTTGGAACTCAAGCAATGAAGAGCCCCCAGAAGACCAAGAAATTAATAGAGAGAATGAATAGAAATGAGGAGAGATAAGAGGAAAGAATGAAGGAGTTGATAACTGAGACGATGACAATAAAGAAGACAGTAAACGAAATAAACTGATAAGCATGGAAAGAAGAATTAACCAAGCAGAAGAAAGAATCTCAGCTTCAGGATCAAAATATGGAACTAACCCAAACTGTTAAAAACATAGAAAAGACTTCGGGAGGCTGAGGTGACAGGATTGCCTGAGCCCACAGGTTCGAGATCAGCCAGGGCAACTTGGCAAGATCTCATCTCTACAACAAATCAAAAAATTAGTCGGCTGTGGTAGCAGGTGCCTGTAGTTCCAGCTACTTGGAAGGCTGAGGCAGAAGGATCACCCGAGTTCAGCAGTTGGAGGCTGTGGCAGTTGTGAGCATGCCACTGTACTCCAGTTTAGGTAACAGAGTGAGACTCCAACTCAAAAAGAAAAGAAAAGAAGCTTAAAAAGATAGAACAAATCCTCCAAGAAATGTGTGATTATATCAAGAGGCCAAACCTAAGATTAATAGGCATTCCTGAGGCAGACAGAGAAACAGAGACCACCCTGGAATGAACATTCCATGAAATGATCCAAGAAAACATCCCTCATCTCATCAGAGACATGACCATTCAAACACAAAAGATTCAGAGAACCCCTGCAAGAGATCAAATGAGAAGACCAACTCCTAGACACACAATAATTCACTTATACAAAGTAGGTATAAAAGAAAAAATCCTAAGGACAGCAAGAGAGAAAGGTCAGAGTACCTACCAGGGAAGACCAATTAGAATAGCATCAGATTTATCTACAGAAATATTGCAGGCTAGAATAGACTGGAGTCCAATCTTCAAAGTTCTCAAAGATAAAAAATTCCAACCAAGAATTTCCTACTCAGCTAAGCTAAGCTTCATCAGTGATGGAGAATTATAATCCTTCCCAGACATTCAATCCCTAAGAGTTTACACCACCTCCAGACCATCTCTACAAGAAACACTAAAGAAAGTATTAAACACAAAAGAAAGAAAAAAAAAGAATGCCCACACTCTTCTCAGTAATACAGGAAAAAGATTGAAAACACACACATATATTAACCCAAAAATCAAAATAAAACCAACCAACAAACCCTATAAGAACTTCATGACAGGGATAAACCCTCACATCTCAGTAATTAACCTGAACGTAAACGGACTAAATGCACCACTGAAAAGACAAAAGATGGCAAACTGGATTTTAAAAAATGATCCAACAATGCTGTCTTCAGGGAACTCATCTCACCAGAATGGACACTCACAGACTCAAAGTAAGAGGATGGAAAACAATTTTTCAGGTGAATAGAACACAAAAGAAAGCAGGAGTTGTGATCTTAATATCAGACAAAATATCCTTTAAGTTATCAAAAATTTAAAAAGATATGGAAGATCACTACATAATGATAAAAGGTTCAATCCATCAACAAGAAATATCCATCATAAACATATATGCATCCAACATAGGAGCACCAACCTTTATAAAGCAACTTCTAGGTAAACTAAAAAAAGACATTGACTCAAACACTATCCTAGCTGGGGACTTAAATATCCCATTAACAACCCTAGATAGATCATCAGGCAAAAAAATCGACAAGGAGATCTGGAACCTCAACTTGATGCTTGACCAAATGGACTTAATAGATACCTATAGAACACTCCACAAGAGAACAACCATGGGTTATACATTCTACTCATCACCACATAGAACATATTTCAAGATCGACCATATCCTCAGACATAAATCAAGCATAAACAAATTCCATAAGATTGAAATACTGCCATGCACCTTCTCAGACCACAGTGGAATAAAAATAAATATCAACACCAACAAAGCTATCCCAAACCCACAAAGACATGGACACTAAACAGCATGATGTTGACCAACTCCTGGATCAACAAGGAAATCAAAGCAGAAATCAAAAGATTTCCAGAAACAAATGAAAATAAAGACAAATCTTACCAAAATGTCAGGGATGCCATGAAATTAGTATTGAGAAGGGAATTCATTTCTTTATGAACACATAATAAAATGGAAAGATCACAAATTAACAGCCTAACAAATCACCCAAGGGAGCTGGAAAGACAAGACCACCAAAACCCTAACGTCAGCAGAAGACTCCAGATCACCAAAGTAAAAGCCCAAATATAGGACATAGCAGACAAAAATGTCATGGAAAAAAATCAACAAAACAAAAAGCTGGTTCTTTGAAAGGATAAACAAGATTGACAGACTTCCTAGCTAGACTGACCAAGAAAAAGAAAGAAAAAGCCCAAATAAACACAATCAGAAATGCAGAAGATCAAATCACAATGGACCCTGAAGAAATACAAAAAATTATCAGAGATTACTATGCACACCTGTATGGAAACAAACTTGAAAACCTAAATGAAATGGAGGACTGTCTGACATCACACAACCTTCCAAGGTTGAAACAAGAAATTGAGACATTAAATAGACCAATAATAATAATAACCCAGGAAATCAACTCAGTCATAAGAAAACTACCCACAAAAAAAGAGTCCTGGACCAGATGGCTT